CCAATCAGAACAACACCTCTACCCTACCCTAAGTACTACACTGTCTGAGCCTATTGGCTCCAAGGTCTAACCTACACACCGAAACCTCGTCCCTTCAACGCTGACCCTCTCCTAACAGACCACTGTGCCTGGAATAACCAAGTGGCCCCCTATACCTCCACAGAGTCCACACTCTCTAACCTCCCCCCTTCTGACTGACAGCGCTGGTCCCCCTCTTAGTTACCGCTCCCCCAGCCTACTGCTACGAATCCTTCCCTAGTTCTTGCCTCCGCCTACCATCCCCTAGAATGTACTGTTAACCCCAACTCTACTGCTGCAGCCACTTGCACAAAACCAGACCCGGAGTGCTGTGGTCCTATGGAGCCCGGCCAAGCCATTGCCTTGGGCTCACGTCCGCAAGAACCACCACCGGGTGTGCCTTGAACCCCTGCCACACCCAACTCTCCTACGCCACCCCGAGCTCTCAGGTCGCTCGCCTGAGACCACTCTTCATTGCCCCTTTCATTTCCACATCAGAGTATGGCCTGTTATCAAAGCGGGCTCTCTCCCTGTCTGCCCAAATCAGATGATTGTCCTGGGGACATGGCCTATGCAGGGCTGTGATGCCCACCACACGCCCAACACGACTTCCCGTTTTCGGAGTGATAGGGGAGAAATGCGTAGTAGGGGTGTGCCAAGGAGTTTAGGGAGGTCGGGTGGAGTCCCAGGTCGGACTTGAGATCTCCTGTGTCAAGGTTCGGGGATGGAAAAGCGGTTTCTGTGCAGGGCCGGGTCTAGGGTTTTGCCTTTTCTCAGGGTCGAATGACTAATTTCACTGGCCCCGTCGCCTCGGACAAGTTCGCAACTGGTGCACTGATGGAACACACCGGGTGTCTCTCTGTTCAAACACCTGTCGGCGGCGAGTTTCACAAATCTCCGAGTCTGACGTGGACGGCGTCAGCCAGAGACTGTGTTCTCGGTGCTCAGCTTCAAAGCGGGTCCATTGTACGAATCCCACCGCCCGGTAAGTGTTGTACTGATAGCACTCAAAACACGGCCTCCGGGGCCAGCATTGCGCGATCGAATCCCAGGGAACTACCGTCAGATGGTGATAGGGGAAAAGGAGATAGAATAGAGGGAAGTCGGTTTCAATGACATCGAACCCCAATGTAAGATGGTAATGATAATTACGGGCGTTGGGGTAATCTCGGGTTCGGGAATTCCGTCCAAGGGCCTGGTGAAAGTCCCGAGCACACTGCCGATCGTCCTCCGTTTGACAGTAGTAAACTGGAAGTCGTAATTTCGATCGGCGAAAGAGTTGTTTGTTACCCCAGTATTCCCTGTACTCGGGGTCCTCAGACAGGCACGGTCCATGATCCAGAATGGCAGGCGGACATCCATGTTGGGCAAGGGGGGCTTGACTCATACATTTGACTGTGCAACGAGAGGAGGTGCCGAGTCAGGCAAACACTCGTATACGGGACAACTGTCGTCACGTCCGATCATCACAAGGGCATTATTATGTCACAAGTGGGCGGATTCACATACGTATCTTCACACTTCCGCAAGCCGTTTATTTCTTGCGCCCTTGTTTCTACAACAACAATCCTTCAGACAATCAAAACGAAGAGGTGGGGAAGATAAAAATGCTTCATACATCAATCGAAGAAAAGATAGGAAAGTCCAGAAAGTGCCACAATGGAGAACGCCGAAGCGGGAGATCAAAATTGCACAGAGGATGCGAAGAAAACAATTCCCTTTTCAGCACACCGTCTTCTCTCCATCGCTCTCTCTCTCTCTCTCAACGTTCCCACGATGCGGACAGTCCGTCGCCTCACACCGATCAACAACCCGAAGTTGTCACCCCGCTTGGTCCGAGTATGCAAGCCAGATTCGCCCTTATGCCACCGTCCTTCGTGGACACATGTCAACCCCGCATACCCAACCTTCCTGTCTCCGCTCGTTAGCTGATCCTCTCGATCGCGCTAACTCCCAAGTGTAGATTAGAGAGTGAATTAGTCGCGCTTGCGAGCTTTATAGCAGTCAGTAGTTGGGCGAGGTAATTTCGGATTATGCTTACCCAGGACGAAGTGAGAAGGAGGGAGTGCCTTCGGGTGCACGAGGGACCTGCGTTGTGGGCGATGTAGCCGCACTCCACGCATCGATCCAGTCATGCACTTGTAAGCCAATGAGACAGACGGGAGAGAGGCAAAAAAAAAATTCAGTGTGGCAAAAAGAAAGAGAAGAGATTAAGAACGGCGAGGATTACAGTTACGTCTGCGCTCGCCAAGAAAAAGAAAGAAGCGCTTACAATTGCGATTCAAATGTAGGGCGCTGCGGAAGCAGGGTGTAGAGCAATACGCACTTATGCGTGCACGAGTAGAGAGCCCTGTGCCATTACAGACAAAATTACGATCCTCACAAATTCCTAGCCTAATTAAAATCCTAACTGCAATAAGAAATTATGAGAACCTGTGTCAGTTCAAAATTCAAAAAGAAATTCAAGAAACTTCTCTGTGCAGTAACCGCACCAAAATATCCCCGCCCAGTTCCGTGATAAAAAAAAAAAAAAAAAAAACGCTGCGTCAATCACTATTTTTCGTACTCGCTATAGCGTGTCCTCCCAATCGTCGTGGTCTCAACTTTCTAGAAAGAACAGGGGCATTAGTGCAATTGGCCCCCCCCACGCCCCCCCTTCCCACCTCTCTCTCTTCTCCAACCTCCTCAGTACAACTACGTAGAAGATGGCATTCTTACATGTAAGAGATTGTCACAAGGCCAACCCTTCTTCCCCGAGTGGTCCTCTCTGACAAATCCCACAAGTACCCAACGCTTGTCTTACACAACATCCTCCCCTCCCAATTGAGCCCACTGCTGAGCTCACCATCTTCATACCCTTCTGAGTGCCCAACAGTCTTGACAAAGGTATCCGGTGGACTCGAACTGCCAAGTGAAGTAGCGCGAGCCTATGTTGCACGCCCGGCCGTGGCCGGGGGGGTCAAGTCGGCCTCGGCTTTGGCTGTCGGCCAAATCGGCCGGGTTCGGCCACGACCGACCAGCCGAGTTCGGTGCAACAATTTTTTTTCGATTTTTCACGTCGGAAAAAAATATATAAATATGGGTGACTACGGCTGAAAAAGCCCTGCACGCCCATATTTTGTTTTTCGTGTCCGACATTCCGTGCCGCGTGGAAAAAAAAAAAACGGAACCAAAAAAAAAAAAAAAAAAAAAGGCCCGCGGGCCCGTTTCGGCCTTGTTTCAGTGCCACTGGGTGGGGGCACTCTGTGGGCACTGGGTGTGGGGGGCGGTGGGTTCAGGCCCGGACCACGACAAATCTGTTGCCGTTTCAGATAAATGCTGCCATTTATCTGAGGCGGCAACAATTCTTGCTGTTGCCGTTAGGCTGCCGCCCTATCTGCTTGCACACTCACAGAGAAAGAGCGAGAGCGAGAGAGAGAGAGAGAGAGAGAGAGA